GAGAGAGAGAGAGAGAGAGAGAGAGAGAGAGAGGAAGATCGGCCTCAATTTTGGAACCTATAATTGATAAGCACATCTCTAGCTAGCATAAAACACCCGGACCAAACTAGTCAATCATTGCAGGTTAAACAAGTAAGCCTATTCAAATAAGATATGCTTGCAAGCAAAGAATAACAATTTACACATGATGCACAGAATACATACTTTCATAGGACACCATCAGATTCTACATAGAGTGAAAGTTTAATTTATTTCTTTTTGAATGGTAAAACTTTTGCATAATTTGAATCAGCAAAACTTTGTATATATGATTCCTTGTCCACGTACCATACAAATATTGGTAGTACTTCTATGTAATGTTTTCTCGATAATAAAATGGCTGAAGAAAGTAAGTTCAGAATACCAGGTAAGAAACAGAGGCCACTTATAATTTTCTATAAGAATGATTAATAATTCCATGCATTAACATAACTTTGACTCATTTCCATAAGAAAGGCATCCAATTGATCTATAAATTGCACTTGATTATATCTGATAGACTGATAGACAGAATTCATCATTCTTTTAGTCTTGATAGTTACCATGGAAATTAGCGGGCAAGAATACATCTGTAGCAGGATTCCACAAGGCAATGTCAATTCCATTTAAAATACCCAAGTACCTAGAAAAGCATAGAAGCCATTTTCAAATTTGAGGAGAGAAAAATTGGATAAGAAATGCTAGATTATTTATTCAAAGGAAAGAAGAGAGCTAAAGATAATTTCAACAAAAACTATTTAAACTGTGAAAGAAGGCTTACTTTTCATGATGCCTGATCAAAGTGCTAGCAAGCCAACCAGAGCACAGTGTTTCTTTAAGATAAGTTGGGGAGACTGTACTGAAAATGAGGAGAAGAAATTAGGATTTGATAGACAATGATCCCGTTGAAAATTAAAATAAAAGATAAAACTTGCACAAGCTTCTTCATGATAGTTCAATTTACATTAGTGGTAAGCAAATCTTTTTTGGTAATTCCACTAGTAGTAAACAAGCAAAAATAGAAGAATTTCATAATTTATCACAGTGCTAACTATCAATAAAATATATATCATGCACATCACAAAAGCACCTTAACTTCTCCCAAAAAAAAAAAAAGAAACAGAAAAGAAAAGAAAAGTGATAGCAACTCAGTCATCCAAGATGAAAGTAAGTTTGAGCATCCAGCAGCCAGCTACAAAAAGAAGAACATGAGAAAGATGGAAGAACATCAGACAATTTCATGACAGACTGGAGAAGTAAAGTATAGAAACCACAATACATCGATATAAAAATGTAATTCCAGACAAAGGAACATCTAGATTCATAAGACAAGATACCAAGTGTCAATGCTCTGAGAAAACATTCCAGAAACTTACGTTACAGCATTGCTGTACACGATGCCACCTTTCAACAAGCTTAATCTCTCAGGATTATGGCCAATGGTTCGATCATCAGCAGCCTATGAAAATCAATAAGATCCAAATGTCATAAATCATAATATTAGAAATTCAATGTAATTGTCGTGAATAATTAGTACACATCTGGAGAATTAATCAGCTACAAACTTCAGCAGGTGACAACAGGTAAAATGATGGAGAAAGTGAGATTCCTATTTAATAAGCTATAAAGACCTTATACCAGTTTTAAAAAGAAAAGAAAAAAAAAAACATAGAGAGCAAGGTAAAGAAGATCCATTTTCTTTAGCATTGTAAATGAGTTAAAATGTCACAGTATATAGAAAGAAGTAACGAAAAAAGTACAGGTAACTGGACCAAACTTAGAGCATACCTTCTCAACAGTTGCATAAAAAGATCCATCCAGGCCACACATAGAAAACTGCTCCACCCTGGAGTAGCAACGTAGCAAAGAAAAAATAAAACATAAGATAACTTAATAAGCAACTCAATTTTTCATAACTTGATAAACGTCTCTAAAAAAACAGTTCAGACATATGTCAAGCATGGTTTTACATAGCGTTCTTCTATAGTAAGACATTCTAAAAAGTTGAAACAATATAAATTAATAAATGGAAAGGCAAAATTTGCAACATTGTATGAATTGCAAATAATCAATATGTGCATCATCAAATATTTATAGATGATTGGATCCCTTTGAAGTGCAGAGAGAAAAAGAAAAGTAACAGATTCAGATGTTGCACAGTAATTGAAACTCTGTGCTACCACTGCTACCTTCAGAAATGAAGGAAAAAACCAGGGATAGGTTTCCTCTAGCTTCCTTCACTTGTCCCCAACTATTTTCAGAAACTAAAAGGTAAATAAAATAATAGAGGGACCACCACTTTTTCCCCCTGCTCAACATACTACATAAGCTTCGCTCAAAATAGCAACACAGCCAGGATGCCTCAGATTGGTTCTCCATAACATCATCACATATAAGCCTATCACCTCAGCTGGAAGAGACTGAATCAACAAACGTATGGGGTCTATCTCGTCAAGAAAGAGGGGATTATAAGAAAATCCTGCAGCGAACCTTTTTAGCTCAAGATGCCCTTATCTTCCACCCAGCTAGAGGGAGATTGAATGTCAGCTGATGGTTGAGAGATGGGGGTACAGGTGGAGGAAAATTACCGTTGTATTCATATGGACAGGGATCTTATATGCCTCTTTTCAGGCTAGTGCCTCATCTCCACTATTTGTTTCATCACATTCTGTAGACCATTGAGGTGCTGCCTAGGCATCCCTTGGTACCTTTAACAAATTGTAATTCTTTGTGGGCCTATTTGCATGTACTCATTATTACTGATAATTCATTGCTTTGAATTAAATATTCCTGTTAATGAATTATCTGTTGTTTGGCAGTCCATCGTAACGTTCTCTGAGACAAACTTATAGGCAGTTCTAAACATAAGTTTATCTTTTTGAAAGGCTTTTTTTACTTTATTCCAAGCAATTTCTGAAAATGACATGCTTTTGGCCAGAAATAACTGGAAATCATCAAAATAGTTTGATAATTAAATAGTATCATACATAATACAAGATACATAGCAAACAGCTAAAAGAAATAATATTATCCAGAGTATATTAATTTTAGATAAGGTATTCTATTCTAGAAAATATTAAATGTCACCCAAACAGGACCTATGAATATTAATTACTAACAAAATGCCATTCTCTAAAAAAAAAATGTAATTACCTAACCCATACTCTAACTCACTCATCTTGTAAAGTGCATTTAATTATATAGATTAGCAGTTTGGTACATCAGTTCACATGCAGTTGGCTCTTCAGGACCTCATCCCACATGTTGGCCCTTCAAATGGATTTGCATGATATATAATGATCTTCTGTATCATATGACAGAAGTGCCACCAAACTGCTTTTAACCTTGCCCTACATCATTGGAAAAAACATATATTCATACTTTAAGTATAGAATAACTGAAGTGGCAACAGTGGATTCCTATTTAATAAGAAAACAAGATATCATTGTCTTTATTTTCTTTCCATCTGCTTTGAGGATCAGAGGAGTTTTCTGGGTGAGAGCACATTAATTTCTCGAACATGAACTCGGCATGATAGACAGTCATACAAAGGCTTTTGGAAGGGCTCTATCACATTACACGGATTATATTCTTTTAGTGTTATTTTATTTTTGTGGTAGTACTGATTATATTCTTTTATTCTAGTGTCAATTAATGGTATTTATGATATGCATATTGTATTTATCAAAGGATTCATAACACTTAATTTGAATAATTTGCCAATTGAAGGTTATTTTAAGTACACAGTTTCACCTGCACTCCCCATAATACTCCAAGTTGTGGATTGTTAAAACTAATCTTGGTTTCTGCATAGCACAAAACCTAGATCAATCACAATGTAAGATAATATAATATATAAGGAAACCAGGAAGAGGCATCACAGTTTCTATGATGCGTTCCAACCTTAATTGAGAGATTATGATACATATCCCAGTATAGTATAGGTAGAGCACCAGTTTGCCATTCATGGACATGCATTACATCAGGCTGTGTGCCATAAACCTGTTTTTTTACCAAAGCACAAGTGAGACAAATTCATATCAACAATAGAAAGACAAAGACAGATAATAATCAAATAAGGGGACCTGTATATATTCAAGGCAAGCACGGCTGAAAAATAAATATGCTTCTAGCTCGTTATAGGAACCTCCATATACTGATGGCCCCTTGAAAAAGTGGTTGGATGGTTGAATAAGTATAACAGGAATGCCTGATACAGCTCCACGATATGCCCTAATAGAAACCCAGTTGCCATTATGAAAGGAATTATATGTACCATCCTCACACAAATCTTCAATTTGCTGTTTTTGAATACACTCGTAGAAAGGAAGCATTATCTCCACTTTATGACCACGCAATAAGCAAGCACGGGACAGACCAGTCACAACATCTCCAAGTCCACCAACTTTTGCTATTGGTGCCATTTCAGCTGTGACATGGATGATGTGCATAACATCTGTATCCTTCACAACGTTATCTACATAATGTGAAGTCACATCCCATGACCGAAAGTGTTTTTTCCAGAAGGCAATTTCATCATTAGGGGAAGGCCAACTGAAATCGTTAAGATTGAAACCAGTAACCAGACTGCTATGATTTGCAACTCTAACCTGTGAAATTCAAGACAATAAAACACTTGGCATGGTATTTAGAGTTGAACACTCAATGCAAATGGAAATAACTGTAAATAAATAAATAAACTTTGAGTAAATGGAAGTCTGAGAAAATTGAACGAAAATATACCTTTTTTATTGGATGACCACTAGAATCTAATGTTGAAACCCCTATGTAGACCTGGTGTTTAAATCCATAGGACTTCCTGTTTTCCAAAGATAGTCGCCTCTGGAATTTCTGGATATGTTTCACATTTCTGATAGCATTAAAATTTGACACATGCACACTTGAGTTGGTTGCGAGCTTGTTGATTGGAGTCGTTTGGACCAATGTAGGAAGTGGCTCCATTATTTTTGCATGACTTACGAATCAATTTATTGCCAACAATCTGCAATACTAGAACAGTTATACGCAACAAAAGATCCCATGTACCAGTTAAGCACACCTAGATATTCTACATGCTCATGTACATTTTGGCCACTAATGCACAACCTCAGCCAAATGACTAAAGACATGATTATATGGGATTGGAGTTGTCAAGGTAAAGAGTCATTAGTTGAAAAACTCAATGAAATGAGGGTTGTTAGAGTACTTATGAATCACTCAAAAACAAAAAATTATGAAACTACCTGTGATCAAAGAGAAAATGCTGGTACAAAAGATAGCCCAAATTTTTATTAAGTTAGACAAGGAATTCCCATTCCAACTTAGTACAAGTAATATTGTGACATCAATTTGGTGGCCAAAGGGATCATAGCCACATAAGAAGCAGCAATTATTTTCAGACTAAAGCAGAGAACTTGAAATAATGGTAAGGGTAATCATAAGTTGATCACTGGTCAATCAAACAAAACAAAAAATTATTTTCTTCTAGTCTTTCTTTCTCTCTAGCAGGTAAAATTTTAAAACCAAAACCAGTCCAAGTTTATATTTTTTTTGTGTCTTTTACATGTGAAGAGAACCGTAACATTTCATGTGTTGCTGGTGAACATAATATAAGAGATAAATATGGGGAACCAAAATGAGCCTCATACATAAATTGATTCCCATGACAAATGATCCAAGAAAGCAATTAATAATATATATAGAGCAAATAAATCAAATGTTTGTTATTGCTCAAGACAGATATGTTAAATTCATCGCATCAAATAAATTTATACAGAAAATAACATTTATAAATATTCGAGCAATAAATTTCATCACACTTTTAAAAAGTCAAAATCATGGATAGAAAATGAAATCGTTGTATACATCAAGCTCACCAAGCTACATAGAATTTATTGCAATTTATTGAAATGCATGTAATTCAGTATGATTTATCCGAATTAAATTTACAGAGCGTAAATCTCTTCTCTTTTCTTATTTTTTTCCTGTTTTTGGCTACACGGCATTAATATTTCTGCTCAAAATTATGAAAATTTTGACAAATATTTGTTTTTTGGGTGAATATAGTTGTGCAAGCATAGATTGCCAACTCCTAGATACTATCAAATTTGGAATCACTATAAAAGATTAGCACTGCATTCCACACCCAACTACTCAGGACAAAAAGACTATAAGAAAATCAGAGCGATAAAATGGGAAGGAGACAAATTATGAAGCAATCAAATATAGTTGTGCAAACATAGATTACCAACTCCTGAATAATACTCAATTTGTAATCACTTTAAAAAATTACCACTGCATTCCACACTAAACTACTCAGGACAAGGAGACCATACGAAAATCAGAGCAATGAAATAACCAGGAAACAAATTATGGACCAATCAAAAGAATTAATCAAAGTGAATTTTACAGTGTAAATGAATCTCACCTGAAAAGCTGGTTCAGGAGAAAACTCGGGTTTAAACTTTAAACTTCCACTCTTAGCTTATCGACAAGAAAAGAAAAAGCTAAATTAATATTTCAAGTTACAGTGACGCTGCAGAGCTTCCACTCTTCATACACAACAAAAATTAGGGTTTCTCCTACTGATCATATCTGAGAAATGAGTTAGAGTTTTCAATATCAGCAAAGCTGAACATCTTCCTCCTTAAACTGCTCTCTCTTGAAAGTTGATTGGTTTAAGGCATGTAAGAAAGCAGTAAGGGTTTACATTAGCAGTGAAAATGAAGATCTTTCTCCCATTTTAAATGAAATTAGGGTTTTCAGGTATCGCCATTAGAGAGGTGCCATCCTGATAACTGTAACTTCTTCCTCATCACTAAGGAGGCGTAAAAAATAGTGGAGGGGTGAGCGGTGAAAATAAATTAAAAAATAAAGGTATTTTGTGTCGCAGTTGTGACGCAATGGAAAGAATAACGCGGGAACCAATGAAAATTTAGGATCACGTGCCCTTGAAGATTGGGGAGCGAGATCACAGGCCCGGAAATATTGGATTATAATAAAAACAAATTTATCATTATCATTATATTCCTAATCATCATGGGAGATTTCTCCAAATGAACCACACAAATTCTGATCCGCAAATCTTAGTACACCGTTAAGCTCTATCAAAATAAAAATCTCTTCAACCATCCGGTGGACCACACAAATCCTAATACGCCATTATGCTATATCAAGAAACAAATAATCCCGGTAGGCCATTACGCTCTATCAAAAACAAAGAAGTTCTTTTCAACCACCTCATAGACTACACAAATCCTGATACACCATTATGCTCTATCAAAAAAATAAAGTTCATATATTAAGTAATAAAAATAAATTTACCAAAAGCCAAAATCATATAGAGAATTGTTTATATATTTTTTGGGCAATTTATCTTTTATTATTTATTATTGGAATAAGTAAAAGCCCCATCTCAAAATTTATCCAAAATTATAGGTCGCATGGTAAAATCTTCATATATAGTGTACCACATTATCTAAACGGTCTATTTCGTCCTAAAAATATGTGTTATGTACCATTTTTTAAGTTTCAAATTTTATAGTCAAGGTTGAAAATTGATTTTAGAGCGGTCGTGGAGATCTTCGATGCCAAGGGCTTTCAAGAAAAGAATTTGAGATGAGGCTTTAATTTGTTTTCATAAAGCTTGGTAGAAACTCCATCCTTTATTATATATTATTTATCATTTTATATAGAGCCCAAGCTCTATATAAATTTGAGCCTATCTCATATTACTTTATATAAATTTATCATTTTATATAGAGCCGAGGCTCAATATATTATTTATCATTCTATAAAGCGTCGAGGATCTAAACAAACAAATTTGAGCCTATCTCAAAATTTCATTAGAAGAGGTTGTTTTGATGCCCAAATATCTTTAAATTGATCATCTCGACATCAAGATGCATAGACATGAGAAAAAAAATAGATTTCAAGTTTTAGAATAGTGTATTTTATAATGCATTTTTGGACCGTCAATTTTCAAGATTTTCAAGTTTTCATAAATTTGTTGATCTACACTATTTTTTAAGCTTTAAACTTTATAAATAAATATAAAAATATACTTTAAGGCTATCACAAATTTTCAATATTAAAACCACATTTCTCGACACTATTTGAAGGTAGGCTATAATTTGATTGTTTAGAGCCTAGGCTCTATACAAACCGCACCCATAAAAGTAAGGTGCACTTCCAAACTACATGGAAGATACAGGAGTTGAAAACTTCTATGATGTCCTGAAAATTGGTTTTTATCTCTAATTATGAAACTTAATAGTGCAGATAAAATAGATTTGTGGACACTTGAGTACCTTGAGAACATACAGTTCACATAATGTATCGCAATATTATTTTAAGAATTCGGAATCCTTTTTCTTATTTTTTCCTATGTCCAACATCACGATGTCAAGATGATCAATTTGAGAGTTTTCCAGCGTCGAAATAACCCCATCTGATGTTTTTCATGTGCACCTCAATCCTATAGCTTAAGATGAAGCACTTTATATAATATTTTTCTCGTTTTATGTTCTAAACTATTCCAACTCGTGATCATGTGCTTTTGATGAGTATTTTGAAGTTAAACCAAAAGACATAAGTGAGATGTTAAATAGTTTGTGTATTTGGATAAATCTCCCATAAGTAAAAGTTTAGGAAAGCTATGGGAGATTATCAAACTATGTATGACATTTGAACTATTTACATGGAAAAATATACAAATAGATTGTTTACTTTTAGCGCGAGGAAATCATAAATCACAATTGTTCTTTAGACTTAAAATTAATTAGGTAGTTGTGAGCATATAATTGACTAGTCTTAAAGTTCAAAAAAAAAAAGTCTCACTTCGACACATCCCAAGTCATTCAATTTGACATCTAAAGGCAATGAATAATTATGACATCTTTCTAAAAAAGATAAATGATTTCATAAAATACAATATCATTTACCAATGGGAAAAGTTTATATGAGGTTGCAACCTTAAAATGTAGAATCACATATCCACTTCAAAAAACTTAAGCAATTGGAGAAATATAGAATACAATCATTTATCTTTGATAGAAAGATGTCACAATTAATATTGATTGTTAAACTTAAAATCAGGTGGTTGGGGATGTATAATTGACCAAGTTCAATGTTTAAAAGAAAAATTTTCGATATTTTGGCACACCTCAAGGTGTAGAAATTGGCATAGATTGATAGTGGCCTCCTTGTAGTAAATGTTAATGGTCTCACAAGATACAATCCCCCACTTACATAAGTTTTGAAAATAAGGTAAAACGTTAAATAATTCAGCTTCTAAGTTATTCTCATAAATCTCCAAAACTTTAAGAAGCTGCTCTAGAAAATATACAAGTAAGCCCATAGAGCTCTCTGAATAGCGAATAGAATGGTAGGATTAGTTATTTTCTTCATTAACAATTTTATCACTGAAGAGGTTAATTTTTCCAAAAACTTGTGCTTGTTTTAATTTCAAACAATTTTGAAGGTCTAAATCTGAAACACATTATTTTTATTTAAAAACCTTGCTTTGAGTTAGGAGCCGATGCAAACAGTGATAACGATGTCTTTAGCATGGGTAATCTTAATGGGGCCAAATTATAAAAATGCCATGCTTGTTCTGTATTCATAATTTAAAAGATAAAATTTTTTTGGAACCCATAACAATTGTTGTTGTGAGGGATTTAGAATCCACAAACAACAATAAACGAGCCTTATTATGTGATTTTATTTAAGTTGATAACTTCTCTGTTCAAATTTCGTGCTTGATAAAAAAAAAATCTTCATATCAAAACTTCACGGCACTGTTTATCTTCTTATCAGACGTTAAAAAAAAAAGTTCCGACCCAAAGGTCCGAACTTAATATCGAAAGTTCGTAACTTCCTCCCGTTCGATAACGCCAGCGGCGAAGCCCCAGCGTCTTTGCTCTTCTTCGTCACTGAGCACCACTCTCTTAGGTATGCCATTGACTTTTGATTTTCGTAATTTTTTTTGTAATCTTTCTTTCTTTATCTTTTTTATGAGCTATGATCCTTGATTTACGAATACATTAAAACTGCTTGGGGTTTTTTATTAGGGTTGATTGATCTTTGAGCTCCGATCAGAGTAAGAATATATTAAAACTTCTTTGAGCTTTGATCCAAGTTTTTAAGAGCTCGGATCTCCTAAATCTAAACATAACAACCAAAACTGCTTGGGTTTTTTTATTAGGGTTGCTTGACGAGTCTTTGACACAATGTTGCATTGATTGCGAAGATCTGGGGATTGGCCTCAAAATTTTGGGATCGTTGTTTTTAAAAAATTTAAATTCATGGGTTTTATGTATTTTGTATTAAATCAAATATAATTGATATGTAATTTATTTCGTATGCTTTTGTGCTTTTATGATTTTTCTTTTTTTCTATTTTTGAAATTCCTTTTTTCAGATTTCTGATATATTTCAAGCCAATCATATCAATTTTATTCCCTATTCCATGTTTTATATATTTTATTGTTATGTTATTTATATTTTTTGGATTTTTATCATTTTTATTTTATTTTTCAGGTATTTGGCCTTATTTTTATTGATCCGATATTACTCGGATGAGTCCCAGTTTAGTCTTCCCAAGTATCTCAGCTTGCATAGATGCGGACTTGCTGAGTGCCTTGCCCTAACTGTGTTTTAGGTTCTGATCAAGATGATGATCGATGAGTGAGCGAGCATTCTTATTGCATTATGATATATGATGCGTTTTAGCTACACTAATATGGTCTACTGCAAACTGAAAAATAGATTTTTCTGTCCAGCATATTTATTGGAATGCGTCATATTTAAAATGTATTGAGACTAACTGCAGTTCCTGTGCTGTGTTCTGGATTTAGTTGAGACTAACCGCAGTTCTTGTGCCGTGTTACGGATTTAGTTGATGCAAAAGATTTATGAATATGATGCATAAAAAATTGCGTTTTTTATGACCTTTGATTCTTCTTCTTCTTTTTATTAGAAAGTTATTGCTTTACATAAACTTTTCCTGGACATTATGTTAGAAAATAAAGTAACACCTCAAAACTTAGATAATGCAATTTTGGTGGTGAGAGAAACCCTCAAATTGATGATCTTGATATTAAAATTTGTGGTTCTAAAAAAATAGATTTCAAGCTAAAAAATAATGTTCCGTAACATTTTACACATATTATATATATTTACCAATGCTCATATATTGACCAAATTTATAGTATGTTTGAAGCTTCAATTTTCATGATCACAGTCGGAATAATATTTTCAGACCTGGCTTGGTTCAAGACGGTAGAAGTTGGGTTTTTATAATACTTTGTCTCAAGTTCCATGCCTACATAAACTTGACAAAAAATAAAAAGAAGAAAAAAAGCCCACGCCTTTCACTAGCCACACCCTTTCTCAATTCTTTGGTTCCCATGGTATTTTTCTATCAATGAAAAAAAATTATAATGTTCTAAGCTTTACAACAAGCAAAGGTGTACTACAAAACCCACCTTTTAAATTGTAGTTTTGGTACCACAAGACCCTCAAATTAATCATATTGATACGGATCATTATTGATCCAAAAAGGAAATGGATTTTCAAGCCTTAGAATAGTGTATGAGTACATTATTCACACCATCCAAGTATTAGAACTGCCGGTTCTACGATATCTTTGGAGATCCAAATTTCAAATTCAAGGGTGGAAAATAGTTTTTTCAAGCCATCACAGAGGTTTCTAGTACTAAAACTAAGCTTGATGGCATGGTTTTGAAGCGTGGTCTTACTTTCTAGAGAAAAATTAGAAAAGAAATCCCATTTTATCAAAGGAATTGTATATAATTAAACCATACACCTTTAGTATAGAGATGTCAGAATTCCTTACAACCATCTGATGTGTAATCTGATAGTTTGGGTATGCCACAAAGTTTGAAAAAATTCTTTTGAACTTTGAGCTTTATGAGGAAAATAAATGCAGACGCCCAATTTCAAATCTAATGATCATGATTAGTCGTGACCATCTTGTACCAATGGTAAATTATCTCATTAAATAACCACCTTGTACGAAAACCTAAGATTCATTGGGGTAATTTAGTCATTTAATTAATTAATCATATATTTTAAATTGGGTGTGGTTTGTATAAAGCCGAAGCTCTAAACAATCAAATTAGAACCTACCTTCAAATGGTGTTGAGAAATGTACTTTCACTACTGAAAATCTTTGTGATAGCCTTAAAATATATATTCATCTTTAATTAAAAAATTTAAAGCTTAAAAAATAGTGTAGATCGAACAGATTTAAGAAAACTTGAAAATATTGAAAATTGACCGTAAGATAATGTGATACAAGATGCATTATTTTTTATGTCAATATGATCGATTTGACGATATTTGGGTATCAAAACAACATCTACCAGCGAAATTTTTGAGGTGAGCTCTAATTTGATTGGTTAGAGCCTCTATGAACTTTTTCCTTATTTTTAACTTAATCTGTCGTATTTAACTCAACTATATAGTTACGGTAAATCGTTTTCACGCGGGAGTCCCACATAACACCCAATTATATGTTACTTAATTACATATTTTTACTATTTTATAGTTACGGTGAGAGGTACGAATTCACGAAATTTAAGCTTAGCTAATTACATGTATAGAAAATAAAACTAAAATGTAATATTTACTATAAAACTATAGGATTCTAGTGTAAAATATAAAATATATAAAATTATTTTTAAAAATTGAAAATAAAAATCATTTTAAGAAAAAAATTGATGTGAGGCTAAGGTGTACCTCAATAATCTAGTAGAAAAGAGTATGGTAAATCTTCTAATTGATCATCTCAACTTCGAGGTGTATGGATATAAAGAAAAAAAAAAAAATTAATCTAAAAATAGTGTATCCTGTAACAAATTATCTAGACAATGTATTTTCACATATTTATAGATTTAATCGACTTGTATTGTTTTTAGAATTTTGAAATTCATAATTAGGTTTGAACATGAATTTTAAGCTATCACACAAACTTTCAAGCTGCACCTTAACATTTCAAAATGTAAAGTATAAGGTGAGCACATCGTGGTATCCATTCCTACTTCTATTACCCCCAATTAACATCTTCAAAATGTAACTCCCCAATTTATTAAAAAAATGGGCACGGGCTCTCTTCCCTCCTGAATTATCCAAAAATAAATAAATCCTAATTTGAAGTTATTTTTAGTCGAGAATGTAATATTTGGTGAGTTTTGAGATGAGGTTTTACGTTCTTGGGTAAAGCCCCGGTCCTAGTTCAACCTTTTCCTTTTTTGATTCTCTTATTTTTAACGGTGTAACCGCACCGGCATGCGAATGGTATGTGCTCTTATTTCTATCTCAGTTGGAGACAAGATTTGGGCTCTGAATTTCGAAGCGTTTTTCTCAATTTTCATCTCTCCTCCGTGTTATTTGCATTTGAAAACCGGGAACCTCAACCCTAACCCTAAATCTTAAGGAATCTGGTGCCTCTAACAGAAGGTTATTTTGGTGTTGAGTAGTCATGTCTCTATCGAGGATTTCTAGAATGGTTACTTCATCGACCAAGAAGTTCAGTCCTCACAAAATGATGTAAGTTAAAGCATGTCTGAAGCCTTCACAAGAGAAAAATTAGTTACAGAGAATTGGATTAGCGTTTAGTTGTCCTTGAACTATGTAATTTTGAGCATGAATTGTTGTCTGGATTTTATATTTATTTCCTGAAAATGTTACTGTTTTTATTGAGAAAACCCCCTTTAATTAATGTATGCATTCACTCGAAAAAGTGAACATGGAGGGAATTGGTCTTTTTGGTTCTGTGCTAGAACGTTGTGTTCTTTGCATATGCTTATTAGAACCTTACGTCTGTAAGTTTGTTCATACTAAGTTTAAGACCTTTTTTCCCGTCTCTGCAATTCTTTGGTTTTTAAAGAACTTATAAGACCTAGCATTTTAATTATTTGAAGAACTCAGAAGTTCAAGAAAATGATCCTATAGTAGTTGAAGGATTTTACGTCGTTGGGATAAATGAGTGCAATTAATAGGAGGAATTGAAACCCATGTTAAATCGGAAATAAAATGGCGCTAAACATTTTAACAAAAATATTTTAAAAAATCTAGTTTAATGGCCTGTTTCTGCAATGGATTAAAGACTTACTGGACATCTATATAAATGGGCTACAATGGACTTTGTTAAATACCCAGTTTATGGGTTTTTAAAGAGATCATAGTTTTCCAGCTGAAATGTATTTGATGCCAAAGCTGGGGTGATCAAATCTAGGGGGAAAAAAACTTTGAGAGTATGGATATTTTAGTTGTTAGAGAGTAATGAAAAGAGAAAAGAGAAACTGGGGATAATAGTTATAGCTTTGTATTAAGAATAAAAATCAATTAATTTTTAAACATTGACGTATAACATATATATTGTGTTGGAATTTAATAAAAAACTGTTTGAAGGCCGATGCCATTGACTATTGTCGAGAATGGACCATCTGTTAACAGTCTCATAAAAAACTATTTGAAGGCCAATGCCATTGAGTATTGTCGAGAATGGACCATCTGTTAACAGTCTCACAAAACATAGAATGGACCATCTGTTAACAGTCTCAGAAAAAAATAAAAATATAAAGAATGGACCATGCCAAACATTGATTTAAATATGGACCCATCAATTTGAAAGTTAATAGGTCAATTTTTAGCTATATTACAGCAGTTATAATTAATGCCATTTTGAACTAAAAAAAAAGAAGCCATTTTTAATCCAATTATTAAAGAACAATAATAGAGAAGTTATTGGTGCAACTTAATATTATTAGTTTGTCTAAATTTTTTATATTACGAGAATGTTGGGGGTTCCCGAATTCAAAGAATGAAAAGTTTGGTGTTTGACCATGATTTGCATTGAGCATTTTTCTCAATCTGTTTCTCTCGGCCAGCCTTTTGAGTTCTAGATCTTGGTCACAAATCAACTGAAAAGAAAAAGAAAATGGAAAGCAAAATTGGTCACCTAATTTTATTAATCATAATCCTTGTCAATTCTCCTGCATTATAGACATGAAAAATCTCATGCTTCTATGGATCGATCAAATGAATGTCTGTAGAACCAATACAAGGGATAGAGATCAAGTTGTTCCTGACAGTAATAGCATCAAGAATGCCATGAAGCAGAGTGGAATTTAGAATAATGGTGAATAATTATTCACCATTTGGTTCTATATTACTTTGAAAATAGACACACATCAAACAACTAAAAATTTGAGTTCAGTGAATTTTGTCAGTAAAGTGATTTTCATGCTACAAGTGGCCAAGTGATAGATAGAGCAATGTCCAATGTTCAATGTGCATCCACTTAAGCCGTTATGGTTGTCTAACTCTCCTGAATTATTGGATCAACTCCACATTTTTCTGTATATTTGTTTGAAAGTAAAGCTCCTCATATAAGTTTTTTCACTAGGAACAGCATGCATTGTCTTCCAACTTCTCTGGAAACTTCTATACATATCCTCTACTGCTGCTTTGCCTTCTCTCTACTGCAATAATGTTTGTAACTCTCTCTCAGTGGTAGGAAGGGGGATGCAATGAAGCAACAAATCCTAACACTCTTTTTGGTAAATTTCTAGTTAATGGATACCATCTCTTTTCAGTACACTGCATATACTTGTAATGCATATTAACATCAATTTTACCTGCATGTCTATGCTCACTTTCTATATAATCAAGCGTTGATTCAAAGCTGATTTTTATGCTGTACCTTTTTGTATGATTTCAAATCTCTATATCAGTTTTAGGCATTCCTTTCCTTTATATGATTTTTTATTTCTGTGCTTTTTTTGGCTTATGCAAAAAATATTGCATTTATGCCTTAATTTAGACAAGTTATTTTATTCTCTACTTATTTGCATGGGCTGCATCATTATGTTGCTAAATACTGGACACATTATGATGCCTTTATCTGATTTTTCTCAACTTTTCTTCTCGTTCAAACATGTCCCTGTACAGTGATAACATTTATCTAAGAACATCAAGAGTTGCAGAATTATGCGTTTCAAAATACCGAGATACAGAATGTGCTTGCCTCTTGAAGCAGAGCGAATTGGGTGGACTGAAGTTTGCGTCCTTTCGAAATTTGAATCTTTTTTATGGAGGTTCTATGTTGAAGTATGACCTCGGTTCAAGACAGCAATTTAACTATTTCCAAATAGAGCAATTTTCGACTCATGGGGTTGAGAAATCTTCAGTGTCGCGAAACATGGGACGATCTGGTTTTCAATCAAGTCAAGTCCTTCAAGGAGGGAAGTCACAAGCAATGCTTCTCTATCTTGTGGCTTTGGTAGTTGCCATGGTGGGTTGTACGTATGCTGCTGTTCCCTTGTATAGAAGATTTTGCCAAGCAACAGGATATGGAGGCACTGTTCAGTTACGTGAGGTAATATTGCATCACTCTAGTACTTCTAGGTATTCCTCTTCATAGATGGATGATAATACGAAGAATAATTTTTTATGAAAGTATATTATAGTCTAATGGATTTTGGAAAAACCATTGTCCTTTGAGATCATCACCATCATATGAAATCTTGGGTGGTAGTGAATGAGAATGGATACACCAAATCAGGACATGATGACTGCCAAATTGTGGGTCCCCACTGTCTCTACATAGCCACCCATCTTTTTATCCAATGTTGTGACTTTAATGTACTATGGTTTCCAATAGTTAATTGGATTATGGTGTACTTTCACCATTGTTTGATGTTCTTATATTTCTGAATTTTCCTCATCCCTTGTGACAAGGCCTAAGTCTCTGCAGACTGTTGAGGAGAAAATTGCTCGGCATGCTCAAGATGGAACCACCACATCAAGGTACTTTCTATTTCAAGGTGCTTATCCAATGCCAATACTGAAGACATTTTGCTTGCTGATTGGTTTGCTTCTCTATTGCTTTAACTACAAATGTCTTCTCTAGTTATTTGCGCTTCTTCTCATTGGTAATTTACTACTGTGATGCTTGTATCCTTCATGAATATAGAACTAGTAGAATGGTCAATGCATATTCAGGTGGATCATTTCTTCTCATGCATATAGTCCCTGCTTTGTCCATTATATGTATACATGCATGCATGCATGTGTGTGTGTCTACAACCAATATTGGCAGTGCTGAATGTAGAGCAAGAGCATAATGTTGCCAAAACATTATTCATAGATATTTTTTAACTTGCATGCCATGGTAAACCTCCACAGATGTGTGTGTGTAGTGCAGACTACAACCAATATGGGCATGTGCTGAATGTAGAGCAAGAGCTCACCGTTGCCAAAACATTATTCATGGATACTTTATCACTTGCATGCCATGGTAAACCTCCACAGATCAGTTGCACTCAAATTGATCTTTTGGAAATTAGATTTCTGGATATCTTGAGCTTGACACTGCAATAGTGGTGTATCTTTGATGATGGGCACTGCCTTACATTTTGAATAGGTTTATTTTGTTGGTTTCTTATCTTTGGAACTTTTTGTTTGCAGGGAGCTTGTGGTTCAGTTCAATGCAGATGTTGCTGATGGTATGCCATGGAAGTTTATACCTACACAAAAGGAGGTGCATTCATTTACTCGAGGGCATTTGGAGCATCGTGATATGCCTTTTATGCAGCTGTACGGGGTATGCTTATGTTATCTAGTCATTTCTGCAGGTAAAAGTTAAACCAGGAGAGAGTGCCCTTGCATTTTATACGGCAGAAAACAATAGTTCAACCCCTATAACTGGGGTTTCCACATACAATGTGACCCCCATGAAGGTATGGGTTTCCCTATGACCCCTTGAATAGCCAATTTCTAGAAGTATGATTTGTTATTTTTGTTTTTACATTTTAGGATAAGCATAAAGTATCATTGTTTGAAGTGATTTGTCAATTCCCAATTTTTTCAGGCGGCAATATACTTCAACAAAATCCAATGCTTTTGCTTTGAGGAACAGCGTCTTCTTCCAGGAGAGCAGATTGACATGCCTGTGAGTTCCCTTTCTGCCTCTGTCAAATTTTATTGTTTTACACCTATCATTTCTGGCCTGTAATTTGTTGCTTTTCACTCACATTTCAGGTATTCTTTTACATTGATCCCGAGTTCGAGACAGATCCTAAAATGGCCAGTGTTAATAATCTAATTTTATCCTATACTTTCTTCAAAATTGGTGAGGAATAAATATTTATCAGGATATATTTAACGTTTTACACCGTCTTGGGTCCTTTGTTGTACTTCTTGATGCATTTTGCGAAATTTTCATACCCTTTATAATCATGATATGTTTACGATCCCATCATTGGGGGTCCTTTGTTATACTTGTTAAATGCAGTTCATTTTTGGGATCTTTTGAAACTTTGCAATCAGGATATCTGAGAGAGAGTATAACATGTTCCTGTGGGATCATACTATACATCTACTTCCTCATAAAGCATATAGAATACCTAGGAAGATATTCTCAATCTGAAATTTTGGAATCCGCTTGAGAATCGCCAGATGAGTATTTTCATAAATCGAAATTTGGATGTTGAGCTCCTTTACTTCTAGTTCTGTCTGTTAAAATATTGTACAGTCCTTGTTCAATTTCAGGGAGTTATATTTTCCAAGCACTTATGTAGGGCATATCATTTTCTTTTTATCGTTTCTTGAAGTTGGTAACTAAGGAGGTGACCCCATGATAATACCGGGGTTTTGCTTTAGGGAGTAAATTTAGGATATGCTCCATCGTATATATTTTTGTAAATTTAGGATATACTCCATCGTATATATTTTTGACTTATTGTATATATATTTTTGATTTATTGAGAGTCTCCATAACGTGTAACGTGAGGTCTTGAATTCCATTTTAACTTGGTTAAAAGACCCTTTTCCGCATGAACTACCAAATATATGATTGCTGCATTCAGCCATTCTGAAGGATATAAGTTCAACTTTCTTAGCTTACTTGTAAGATGTATGGATAAAGGAAAATGGTTATCAAAATAAGTAAGGGTGCGGTTTGTATAGAGCCTAGGCTCAAAGCATCAAATTAGGGCCCACCTTCAGGATTGAGGTTTCAATAGTGGAATTTTTTTACTAGTCCTTAAAATATATTTTCATCTTTAATTGTAAAATTTAAAGTGTGTAGATTGAGCAGATCTATGAAAACTTGAATAACTTAAAAATTGTCGGTCCAAAAGTGTGATGCAAGATGCACTATTTCAAAACTTTAAATCCATTTTTTTCTTGTGTCCATGTATCTTGATGTTGTGATGATCAATTTGAGGATATTTGGGCATCAAAATAACCTTTTCTAGTGAAATTTTTGAGGTAGGGTATAATTTGGTTGTTTAGAGCCTAGGCTCTATATAAACTTTTCTCAATGTGTAAAGCCTCACCTCATAATGCATCAAAAATTACTATTCAAGCATGGGAAAACCTTTACATCAATCATCTCGACTTGAGCATATTAGTTGTGAAAAAAAAATTAGGATTTTAAGCTCAAAAAATCGTATATATCGTAACAAATTATTTAGACCATCTATTTCACCTTAAAATTAATTGTTCATAGATCAGCAAGATGTAGACCACTATTGAGTTTCAAATCAAAGTGGTATCAAATTTTTTATCGGTGTTGGAAATTGATTTAAATCCATGATGGAGATTTTTGTTGTCGAAAGTGCTTTTTAGATGAGGATTTGAGGTACAGGCTTTATTTTGTTTTCATAAAGCCTAGGTCTATAGAAACTTCATCCAATTTGGGTAGTGATGTCATGCAAGGGTTGAATTATAGTATAATACAATCACATTTTTAAAAAACTTTGTGGTATTTGTATGACCCAAAATTTTGCGTACATACTCTCTTCATCTCAATAAGCAATATTAGCTTTTCAATTCCCCTCCAACAACGGTAGATGTCGTCAAAATGATTCCCTTTAAAACAACAAATTCATACCAGTTATTCGGTAAATTTTAAAATCTTAGCTTTTATAAATGCAAAATCTTTTTTTTTTTTTAATATTGCTTATCAAATGATAATAATGCCATATAAAAAAATTGGAAAAGAAAAAAAGCCTTCCAAGATTTAGATCTAAGCAACTTTTCAAAATGGATGACTTATGTTAATTGGGCTAAAACAATGCTTTTTAAGTTACATTTTTATTTTATTTTTTTGTAATTGTTCATTAGGATGAAAAGAATGAATATTTCAAAATTTGAATCAAACAAATGGTTTTGAAAGTTGTTGCATTATATTACTGAAGAACGGTTCAAATCACTGCCCTATTTAATTTTTCCTCTCCCTCGGAAGTCTAACCATTTTAAGAGCATGGTCTCTCCGCGAATTGCACTGCAATAATTTGCCGACTGTGTACAATAGCTCTGCTCTTGTTGAGTGACATGTGTCCATATGTTTAATTTTGGTCAAAATATCTACAATAAAAAAATTAATAGAAAAACTCATTTTCATTTGAGTATTTTAAAATAGTTCTCCTCTTTGTATATTTTGCACTCAAATATCACTTTTGAGAGAATATGGACTTCCGGATAATACTCATAAATGACTTGTTTTTGGTAAGAGATGAAAATGTGTATATTCAGGTGTATGGTACACATCGGTATTCTAGTGCATCTCTCCCTTTGAGTCGGAATAAATATTTTTTTGAACCCTATCCTTTAAAGTGGATGTTCCAACGCGAATCTTGGCAATCACTTGTTATGATTCTACTTATTGATCATTTTGAACCAAAATAAAACCTTTTGGTGGAATATTCACTTTATGTATAATATCCCAACTCATGACGTGTACGTGTGGGATGAACTAAATCCTCATTAAATTTGATATTTCCATTTGAAAGAGCTCTTATATTTTCTGCGATACCGCATGTGAATACTCTACCGGTATGAAAAGTTTTTAATGTTAGTTGAGTTTCCGGTTCTCCAATTTATTGACCCGCAATAATACCTACAGCTTCTCCTAGTTCGATCAGATTACCATGAGTGGTACTCCGACGATAACATAACTGACAGATCCAAAATGTACTCTTGCAAGTGAAGGGGTTTCGAATATATATTGGTTGTGCCCAAGAGGTTATGAATTGATTGACAAGTCCAATCGCAATATATTGATTTCGAGTCGCAATGCATCGCAGACCCATATATACATCGTTCATTAATATGCGATCAATTAGTATTTAGACCCCAACCCCATTTCAAGGACTCACGGAAATACCTCAGATAGTGCCACAGTCCGTTCTACGTACAACAATGTGTTGAACTACTTCAACAAGTCTACGCATGCGGTATCCAGCATCTGTGGTTCGTAGAGCAGTATCCACAAACTCCTTTGCGGGCTCCATAACAAGAAATTGTACATTCCATTAAAGAATTGTATTAGGTTTTAGTTTGAGACATATTTCTTATCATTACACAACTCAAAACAAGAAATAAATAATAGAAAGTATTAAAATACTCTTACAAGATTCATGGGTGTTTTGATTAAATTCTATTTCTTTCGATTTTTTTTTTTTATTCTTTACAAGTGCATATTGGTATAAAAACTCCGCCATCTATTTCATACATGATCCAATAGTTGGACTAAGATAGAAAAAATGGAACACTAGTTTAGTAAGAATATTAGTAGAATCGAATTAGTTAAGAAAGTACCTAAAAGAGATTAATTTTGATGTCTTGAGTCGATAATATATAAGAATGTAGAGATTGATGAAGATGTAACACATAGAATTAGTATTGGGTGGATGAAATGGAGATGTGCTTCTGGATTCATGTGATCATGACATATTAATAAGACCAAAGAGAAAATTCTATAAAACAATGGTAAGACCATCCATGTTTTATAGGATAGAATGTTGGGTTGTCAAGAAACAACATATCTATGTGTTTTTGAGATGAGGATGTTAAGATGGATGAGTTGCAAGACAATAAATAATATCATTCAGAATGAATATATTTGAGAGAACTTATGGGCCATGGGTGTTTGAATAGGCGGTAAGATGAGCAAATGTAAACCTAGGTGGTTTGATCATGTGCAGCATGGATGTATGACATCGGTTAGGAAGGATAATTTGATTCAAATGTAAGCCTTTAAAATGGCAAAAAATTGCTTAAAAGGACATGAATTGGAGTACTGAGAAGAGATATGGTGGCTTGTGGTCTAACTGAGAATATGACTCTTGGTAGAACGGAATGACAAAGTAGCCGACTCTGCATAGTTCGGATAAGGCTCGGATCATGATGGTGGTGAAAAATATGCACGTTCCAAACTTGACGTTAACTCAAAAAAGTGGACTTGAACGTAAGATAAGAAATATAAATGCCTACTTCTATTTTAAAATTTTAAAAATAAATGAAGGTTTCTCTATAAATTTCCCTAAAACAAATAATAACTTACTTTAAAAAAAATGTGGCCTGAGGTTAAGTTACATATTTAGATTTCGTACCCCTAATGCCCACGTAATGGATTGGTAGAAAGACTAAATAAAACAAAACATTACCAATTGCCGCCAAACTTGGTTTCTCTTAAGTGCCAAGAGAGCGTATTTTTGGCTTTCCTTCTCCATGCTCCACTTTTAAATGACATCAAAATACGAATACATCCCTCATGCAAATGATCAACCATAATTGGTGTAGCTCTTTAAGCCTCATGTACCATTGTCTTTCTTACATGGATAAGAAGCATATTGTACTTGGTCCTCACTCCCTATGTATATTTTTTAGACAAGAGTAGATTATTTTATTAGATCAAAAGGACCATACATGTAGAGGAGAATTACAATAAATTCAGAGAAACAACTAAAGGATCAAATAGAGCCCTTTTCTTAGCAAGATCATCTTGCGACACAATTTGCTTCTCTATCAACAAGTCTGAAGGTAAATACTTCTGCCAACAATAAGGTCCATGATTTCCAGCCATAAAAACCTTAGCCTCCATGGTAGTGTGGAACTACAATGGCACCAATCGATAACATTTTTAGAGTCCCCTTCAAGAAGGGGAGAATTCTCAAGCTTCTTATCCTTCCATATTTTCCAATTCAGCATGGTTTGTTGTTGTCTCTCCACATGGTGAGATAAAAGAAAATAGGACATTACCACCAGAATCCCTACAAACACCACCGACACCCACCCTTCCTGGATTTCCCAAAGAAGATCCATCAACGTTCAATTTAAAATAATCACTCGGTGGTGGGTGGAGACCATCTACAATGTGGTCTTACCTTAAGAAACCTTAAAGATGCCAAGTGATGGATATTGAATTCCACATCCAAACGAGATACACCCCAACCTTCCTTGGTCACCCTAAACCAAGTCCATGTACAACTGGATGATGGAGATCAAACCGAGGTAGAACTCGGATGCACATTGTGCCTCTTTTTGTGGTTCAATCTCAACCATCCTTTCACAATAGGTGAACGCCCATAAGAAAGGAAAGCATGCTACATAATGTTCCGTACAATATACCCTCTCTCTTTGTTTGGCACAAATACGAGTAGTTTATCGGTTCACAGTCGTTGTCGCCCTTTTGTAATTGTAATTACCATCTGATACATTGTGATGAGAATGAAGGGACTGCAATTTCAAGAGGTTTTCTAAAGAAAGAGAGGGTGTGGGGAAGAGAATTAGGAATTTGGGGCATGAGGGAAGCGAGAGGGCGAGAGAGATGACTAGGAATTGGGCCAACATGTAACCAGTGCAGAATTCCAAGAATCGGATCGAGAGTTCATCCCAATCATAAAAACCTGGTGATCTAGACTGAGAATCGCAAATCGAAATCATATTTAGTAGCTCCCCCCATATACTGTTCTTTAAGAAGACCTTTTATTATCATTATTTTTAATGTGTGTGGCAATACAAATCCTTGTTCTATGATGCATGCTCTATCAAGAGAAATTCATGATTGTGCTACCTGCAACTCAAGAGATTTTATACAATAAGGCCATTTATCTTTGACATAAAGAGGTCACCTAAAACTCTCTGATGTAAAATCTGATTACTTGGAATATGTCATAAAGTTCGAAAAAAAAATATATCAACCCAAATTCACATCTAATAATTGAGATTAATTGTGAATGGTCTCATTATATACTTTTCTCCAAATATAATAATTTTTTATACTTAGTAATAACGAGTCCCGTGGCTTATGCAAACACCATGAGCCCCATCTTTTCATTAAATTTTCACCACCTAGATCTTCCGACAAATCCAGTTTTTCTTGTACAGGATATGAGGAGTCTAAAGTCATTCTAACGCATTTCAACCCCCAGAATGGACCCAGAGCTACCAAATTGGTACAGTATCTTATCGATCTAGTCGAATGGGCGATTCAAATCTCATGCCAAGATGGGGCATTTTAGGCCTCCAAATGCTTTTCTGATTCATTATTTTGATAGTGGGATTCAATAGAATTAGTAATTCTCAGTCACCGCATTTATTTTCTATGTTATGAGGTTAAACGAATTTTAGGACTTATTTGCAGCATTTTCCCAACAAGAAGGAATGAACAGAGGCAAATCGTGCCCGGCCTCGGCTCTAAAAAAAAATTCTCGGGTGTGTGTGAGAGAGAGAGAGTGCAACGCACCACATAAAACCCAAAAACCAAAACAATGAAAGCCGCAGTCCTAATCTCCTAATACTCGCATAAAAATAACAATTACTTAAACAAGATCCGGAAGATCATGGACTTTAAACAGCTACTTGTTTGAAACAAAAATGAACTTTTTTTTGGTAGTAAAAACTAACCTTTTTTTTTTTTTGGTACTTCATCGGAAAAAGATTCTTGTAGTAGGAATAGATCAAGACATCCAAGTTATGACGACCTGTGCCACTCTGATCACCTAGCCTTGAGCCCCAGAACAAAGATTAAACTTGAGGGCAAGTAACAAAGGAACCCAAAAGAGTCAAACTCTCTTAAAATTCCCGACCGAATGCCGGTGAAAGAAAGAAATATCCCCAATGGCAAACACAAAGACTACCAGCTGGATGCCAAAATCTAATAAATTCCATGCCGAAACCAAGGACACCGCCACTGTTTGAGGAAGGGAGGAGGAGATAGAGATATTCATATTGTTTGCCATAGAGAAAATGAGAGAAAGGCCTTTTCTCATCACAATCAGAGGGAAGGCCCACACTGCCTCCCTTAGCAATAAGAGAGAGAGAGAGAAAGAGAGGCCCACACGGTCTCCTTTAGCAAGAAGAGAGAGAGAGGCCCACACTGTCTCCTTTAGAGAGAGAGAGAGAGAGAGGAAGTTGTAATTCCCTAAAATTTTAGGCCTAGAAATTTTATAGAATTTTATATAATATGAAAATACCCAAATAACAAGACTTTTATTACTGAGAGTAAAAGCAACAACGATAGAGATAGGGTGACTCCAAATAGCAGAGAAAAGCAACCATTAATGTAATACAAAGAGTAAAAAAATGTCACAAATATAACAAGATTAGTTATCCAAGGGCTTCCATTAACTTTGAGATAGAAACTCAAATTTTAATCCTCAGATAGGGAGACCCACATCACATATATATAACCCATATATTGCATAAAGATACAAATAGAATCCCTTCCCTACAACTACAACACTAAAGTCACAACCTGGAACCAAGAACCAGTAGAGATACCACTGAGCCAGTAAATACCAGAAACCAGCAGTCCTATATATAGAGCAAAAGAGGAAGATGGAAGAGAGATAAATAAGAAAGATAAAACGAGATAATTAGATACATACTTTGTTGGTGAGGGGCTGCGACATGCAACTTGTGGACGCGTGTCAAGTTCAGTGTGAAATCAGCAGCCCTATATATAGAGAGACGGGAAGTAAGGGGGAACAGTCAGATGCATACCACTTTTACTACTCGGTAATTATATGAATGCTTGTGAGGGCTAGTTTGTTGTCAGGTGCAGACACAGGCAGCTAGAGAGAGATGATTGTGGGGAGAAAGGAGCTAGTTGAGTCACTGGTAACATGCATACACGAGAGAGACACGGGAGAAGGAAGAAAACAAAAAGAGAAAGGGGCGGGGGAGTTTTTAGGTATTCAAACACATGAGCAGTCCAATACATACTCAGGGAAGCTAGTCGAGGTCATGCTGCTGTGAAAAGCAGGAAACACAACACACAAAGCACAAACGACAAAGAGAGGGGAGAGAGAGAGAGAGAGAGAGAGAGAGAGAGAGAGAGAGAGAGAGAGAGAGAGTA